GGAGAGGGTACTGAGTATTACATACAGTAGGAACATTGATAAAAAGGGCAAGACAGCCAGGGTAGAATCCCAGAAGGAAGAGAGGAGTCGTATAGGTGTGCACCGATCGCGCTGTGGGTGCTATTATTTTCCAATGGCACCCCAGTCGCGCCGGGCGGATTGCTCGTGTCATGTATTGCAGAAAAAAAGGTACTAGTACCTTTTTTCTGCGGTGCACGATTGCCGCGCAGTGGGGTGTCGCATAGGTGTGCAACGGCCCTCACAGTTAGAAGGAAAAAGAGGAAAAATTAAGAGACCAGAAAGACCAAAGAAGGAACAGGACAGAAAGCAGACGACTTCCCACTCCCTGCCAGGAATCCCAACGGAGCCATCCGGCCGGCAAGTTAGGAAGAGAGGGCTTTCATGAAGCCAACCGAAGCTCAGAAAGTGATCCAGGCGGACAAGGTGCGGACATATTTATCTCCAGCAGCATGCTCCTCGGCCAAAAGACCCACTAGGTCTGCTATATGATCCATCTCCACAGCCCATTCCGCAAGGGTAGGGGCCACCGATGTAGGCCAATGGCGTGGGATAACTGCTCTGGCAGCCGTGAGAAAGTTCCGCAAGAGACCTCTCTGTGCTGACTTAAGTGACCCAGGAATCATTGACAGCAAAAGTATCTTGGGGTCATTTGCAATCACAGCACCTGTCACTCTGAGGTGCATCCCCAACACCCCCTGTCAGAACCCCTGAAGTAGAGGGCAGCTCCATCAGATATGTGTCATATGACCCAGGGAATTGTTGCTGCGCCAACAGGAGTCAGACACATTAGGGTAATGCCGGTGAAGAACCACTGGGCATCTGTACCATCTAGTAAGTATTTTAGAGAGATCAGTTTAAACACAGAGTCGAATGACTTGGGGGATACACCGGCTGCTTCAAACTTAGAGATGGAACTGTCATAATTAGTCAGTTATACCCAAGCTGCCAACAAGCATGCAGGCACTCCATTGCAAACTGTGTTAGCCTGTATTAAAGTAATTCATGTAACCCATAACTCCAGGTTTAAATCTTAACTCTTGCAGTGGGGCTACCCCGGACTGCAAGGGTTGAGTGATCCTTTTGTCTAGGATGCAAAAAAAAAAAAGTTATACTCACCCGAAGCACAATCCCGTCTGGCTCCTAGACCAGTCCCTTCAGCCTGTCTTCACTCCAGCAATGGAATGTCCCTGGGCATCCACACATCCTATATACTTTATAGGACATGATGACTCAGTGGACCTTAGACCGCTGGAGTGGAAGGGGAGTGGGGATGAAGGGGACCGGTCTAAGAGAAAGCTGGGATATTGATTTGGGTGAGTATAGGTTTTTTAGCACCCTAGACAAAATGAGCACTTAACCCTTGCAGTGCGGCGTAGCAAAACTGCAAGGGAGAAGATTTGATTTACCCGGAGTTCTGCTTTAATAAGCACTGTGAGGGGAATATATGAATTGATCAAGACTGGAGCAGACAGAATCTGGAGCATCTGTGCATCGTGGCCAACCAGCTTCTATCTTTCATTTTCAAAGCATAACTGGACAAACTGATCCTGAGCCAAACTGAGCCTCTTCCAGTCACTTCCTGTCTACATGCACTTTCTTCAGTGTCAGCTGCACAATATTGCTCTGGTCCGGCTTCCAAATAATGACAGCGGTGGACCATGTCTACACGATGTGTAATGTGCAGTGGCACAGCTATTTGCAGTCTCCATCATGGGTGCATGTGACAGAGTGACAACATAGAAGCACAACTGGGAGTCACTTGTCACTCTACTACAGGAAGTTCCTGAACAAACACCTCTATGGCAGAATCACCAGATATTAATTTAATGAAGGCTGCAGAGTTAAAAAAAATGTCAGAACAATTTCTGAAAATTGGTTTAGAAATCAAAATCTGAGGTAATATTCAAATTTGATTTCTTTTGGAATCTGCAGCTTTCATTAGAATACTCCCCAGTAATCCTGCCATGAAGGTTCAGATACTTCCTGTTATAGAGTGACAACCCATTGTGCTTCTACCTTGCTACTAGGGATGAGCTCAGTTTGGAGTGAACCCGGTTCGATCCTGAGTTTCTCCAAACCAAGGAAGTGCCATGAGCACATTCAAATATTAGCTGCAGGCTGGGTATTTCCCACCCCCCAGCTGCATATATGGTGGGATGCTTGTGCTGAAGTCATTTACCAAATATAGGTTTGCAGCCATAAATGGCCAATGACATCAATGCCTCCCATCCCTTTGCTTACATCAAGCAGGGGGTGGGTAATTCCTCACCGGCAGGTGATTGGGCAGCACAGAAGGAGCTTCCTTCCATGTTCTGGAGGAGCTCCTTCCAGGATCGGAGGAGCTCAGGTTCGGATAAGGTTAGGTGCACAACTGAGTTCATGTCTACTTGCTACCTTGTCAGGTAGAGACCACAGGTGACTTAGACTTGGTCAACCGCTATCATTATCAGGAATCTGGGGAGAGTGCATGTAGACTGGAAGTGGCTGAAAGAGACTGGATGAGATCAGGAATCTTGGAATATCTTATAAATTAACATGCACATTCTTACATTTGTATTTTAATGCATGTCAATGTCCCCATAGAAAATGATGGCATTGTGCATAAACTACATGCAACCTGCAGTTCTTCATATTTCTTCATCAACTTGCTGAAATGTATTTGGAAATAGGTTTTTGACTCCTACCCAATGTGATAAAAAAAACAATATTGCACATAAAAGTATACATCAAAGTGTATTATAGGTGCATATTAACACACATTGTATATAATTTTCATTGTATATTGCCCAAAGTATGTGGACATCCCTCAAGATTATAAAATTCAGGTGTTTCCAGAGAAGCATTCTGTTAATACTACAGCATGCAAATACATTTTAGACTATTGTGCTCTTCCTGCGTTGTGGTAACAGTTTGAGGAAGGTCCTTTTCCCTTTCAGTGAATAGAAAAAATTGAGGATACAAGTCCTGTGTGGCCGCGCTCTCCTGAGGGGTGGGGGGTTGTTTTAGAAGAGAGGATCTGACTTATCAGAATTTTATGGTTGAGTGGGGGCTGTATGGGGGAAGATGGTGTGGAGGTGGGGGTGGCGTGCGGCTTTTGATATATACACCACATACCGTTCTACTTGCCTCTATTTCATGTGCACCTGTTTGTTTTTGTTTTTATTTTCTCCCTCCACCCCTGATATTGAACATCTTGCGGGAGGAAAAATATTAACAAAAATTGCTTCCCGGGCAGCATCTACCCGCAGGCCTCAGCCCATTTAACACTCACTATACCTTCACCTGTCCTAATCTCCAAGGGCAGTCGCGCCTCAGACTCTGTTGTTTTTTTCTGTTTCACACCTTTTCCCTTTCAGCATGACTGTGTCCCTTTGTACAAAGCCAGCTCCATAAAGACATGGTTTCATGGGTTTGGTGTGGAGGAACTTGAGTGGCCTTCCAGGACCCCCTGACCTCAACCCTACTGAACCCTATGTAAGATTCATCCCAATGGCAAATAACCAGATCTTGTTTTTTTTTCCTGGACATTTTTATCCCTTTAATTATAGTTTTCCTGATCGGCTCAGGTTGCTAATAAAACAAATTCACTGCTACAAAACCGCGCTGCAGATCAGCATCAAACGCCAACCGCACTGCAAGACACATCCAGGAAACTCACATAAACTACCACATGCCCTGAAAACACAACAAATCCCAATTAACATCCAAAGCCGTCAACTAAAAGGTCCAAAAGCTTGAAGGGGAAATTGTCAGAGAAGTTCTTGTTTGCACTGCCAGCATGGGACACCGCGAGGTTCTTATAATTGAGAAATAAATGAGATTCTAGTTATATGTCCGGTCAGGGTTCTTGTAATGGAAAAGAAAATGTTAAAAAATTGGCTTGCTTATACACGGCTGACCATATTACATTTTATTTTACATGCAATTATAGTAAATGCCCAAATTGATAGGTTATCTTGATATCCCATCCCCCTTCTATTAATACTCACCTTCCCCATGCTCGCACGTCACCCTCCTCTTCCCTGATACAACCCTTGTGTAAGTTCTGTGTTAGAGCTTACACAGGGCTAATGATCCCTTCCCTGCCCACCTGGGAAAGCACTAGCGCCTGGCTATTGTCTGCAAGCTTGACAATTGGTCACTCAGGTACTTAGAACCACACCATGGAAAGAAGGTGAGCAAGTCACATGTTCCCCCACACTTAGAAGGGCTCTGGCAGGTGGACAGAGCTCAGCAAAGTAGAAGTAGAAGGAAACAAGACTCTATCGAGAGGACCTGTCACTTTAACCTGAATCTTCTAAATAAATTAGACAATGTGTCTTTTAATAGGTGCAAGAAGAGTCTGGGTACTGAAGGTTAACAATCAATTTAGAAAAAGCACAGCAGATTGGCAATTCATCCCAGTTTAGACAATGTCTGCCGTTGGCTCAAACTATACTGGCCTCAAATCACAAACTCACAACACATCGAGAAGCAGTGACTTAAACCAAACATTTACTGGCTGTAAATCAATCACTGTCCACCTAGTAGATTTACCTGAAGCAAATGTTTGGTGAATGTCAGATTCACTGCTTTGTAAATATGCTCCATGAAGTTCCATCCCAGATATTTGCCTATTTCAATACTCAATTTAATTTTACTTTACGTTTGGGTAGCAAATACCACCAGCACTTAACATTTGCAAAATCCATTTTTGGAAAAATCCACTAAAAAATTAATTCTTGACCGATCTACATCTATCTGACTCTCTATAACAATTCCTCTTTAATGGGGATCCTTAGGAGCCACTTTGTCTCCAACATCCGTTCTTTCTTCTCTTAATTCAAGTCAACTTTCTTTTCCCACCAGAAAATGTGAAAATTTAAACTTATTTACTCCATGCCACCTGCAATCAGGTCTTTCCACGTCCGGACAACGAATAATCGGCAAAAGGATCAATGGTAATTACACCGGAAAAGGTCTGGAATGAGCTTTCCTACCTGGTTTTGGGGGAGGTTGTCAGCCATTCTTCATGTTTTTCAAATGTTATCAAGTAAGCTGCAATTTCCTGGAGAAGTAGAAGAAGAAGAGAAAGTTACAATGATTACGTATATGAGCAACAACGTTATCTGCAAAGAAATCAAGGAGGTAATTACGGTAAGGACACCAAGTTGTTGGTGATGTCACTACTACAAAATTAATTGTGATGTCACTTCCGTATGTTATAATTTTTTTACAATGTAGCGTCAAACGTATAAAATATCTGCAGAACAGGGATACCACACCTAAGAAATATTACATATCAATAGCTGAGAGATACCATTTTGTCCTGGAACTGATCTTGATTATACTTGACTACACTTCAACTTAAAGCACAAACAAAGCCTTCAGTATAACAGTCTAAAAAAGCACCAAATCCAGTTAATATATGATGCACAAAAATTAAACCAAAAAACTTCTCTTTTACCTCCCCTGAATGAGCTAAATCCAACTTCATTGGCATCTCACATGCCCCCCTCCTAGACACTGCAGCTCACAGTGGGAAGGTTTCAGCAACAGAAGTGGTGCCATCCATAAAGTAAGCATTGGGCAGGACTAGGTGTGACCAGGTGATGATTGACAAGCTCCACAAGAGAGGTTTACCCTCACTTCCTGTCCTGCTGACAACGGAGGCCCATATAGCACTAAAAACGTGACAAATAGAAGAAAGTTTTTTTCCTTGACAAACACTGTACTGAGAAGGCTGGAGGTGGGGCAGGTGACACATCAAGCTTCTGAGTGGTGGTGCTACATCTGGATGCATGCATTCATGGTGGTCCACAAGTGCATTCCTGAGCCCTCCTATGTGTTACAGCCGTCTTGCTTACATCAGATTGCAGATTATCTCCCTCACAGCGATTTTATTGCTGCAAACATTAACCTTGAATCGGAGGAGGTAGAGCCAGACGGCGCCCCGAAAAGAGCACAGCGCTTACAAGTCAGAGTCAGGAGTCCGGGCATGGCTTGCCTCGGCTCATTGACTTGGATTATGCTGAGTTAGACCTTCTGCCTCCTGTTTGGCAGACATGTCTGTGTGTTTGTCAGTGATATATATTTTGACAATCTAGTGAGCCTTAATGTTTTTCTTATGTGCGCTGTGCCATTCAAGTGCATAGCCAATGATCCAGTAAAGTATTTAAAGGCCGAGCCAAGTTTACCTCCAAAAAATGCTGAAAGATGAGAATTCTGTGCGATAATTATGAAAAATTAATGGATTCTCTAATAACTAACGTAGATAGGGAGAAAGAGCAAAAAGGGTGAGAAGGAAGGGGAGGCTGGGAGATATAGGGGAGAGAGAGAGAGAGAGAGAGAAGGGGAACAGAGAGAGAGAGAGATAGAGACACACAGAAGGGGAACAGAGAGAGAGGGAGAGATGTGAAAAAAAGGGTGAGAAAGAAGAAAAGAGATAGGGGAGGACACGAGAGAGAGAGAGAGAGAGAGAGAGAGAGAGAGAGATACGCAGAAGGGGAACAGAGAGAGAGAGAGAGATATGTAGAAAGGAAAAAAGAGATACATCAAGAAAGAAATAGGAGGAAACAAATAGAGATAGAAAAATATAGGCGAGAGATATAAAGAAAGAGAGGGATGAGCAAATTGGAGAAAGAAGGAAAGGAAAGAAGGAAAGGAAAAAAGAAAAGGAAAGGAAGGAAGGACGAAAAGATAATCACTCTACACTTATCCATTTATACCATCTAATTCATGGCCTTGAACACTGAGAGAGAGCAAGGACACCCTCTGCCCACTCACCCCCCTTTTTTTATTTGCTTGTGATGTGATTGTTGTTTAAATCTGAACATCCGTTTGTGATTGATATTATCTATACTGTTGGTGGACTTTTTCTTGAACTCTTTTTGACAAGTAGACACGTTCACATGAAACCTACCACCTTTTACCTTCAGATTGTAGAACCTTGACATTTTTCTATGTATGAATGACAAAGAAGAACAGATGTTTTTCCTTGTTTCCTTGTTACACTAACTGTATTTTATATAATGTATACCGTTGTCATGACAATGTATTTCTTTGTTGCTACATTGTACAAATACAGTTGCAGTACATTTTAGTGCAATTCTTTATTGCCTGTATCGCATACATAAAAAAAAGTATAAAAAAAGGGGAAAACAAGAGGGATGATAAGAGATGGATAGAAGAGAAGTATAGATCAGAAGAGAAAAGACAAATTAAGGAAAAGAAGAGAAGATAGGAGGGGTAGAAAGGAAGAAAGGAAAGGATGGAAGAGAAAAGAGGAGGTGTAAGAAGGAAGGAAAGGATGGAAGAAAGAAGAGGAGGTGAGAAAAGGAATGAAGGAGGGGAAAGAAGGAAGGACAAAAAGAGATGGAAGGGAGGAAGGAAGAGAGGGGAAGTGGGGAGGGAAGAAGGGGAAGGAAGGGTAAAAAGGGAGGGGAAAGAAGGAAGGGCACAAAGGGAAGGAAGGAAGCAAGGAAGGGAGGGAAAGGGATGAAGGGAAAGAAGGAGGTGAAGGAAGAAAGTCGAAGGATGGGAGGAAGGGAGGGAGAGAGGAGAGAGGCAGGGAGGAGGGAAGGAAACAAAGAAAGAAAGGAAGGAATGGTAAAGAAAAAAGAAGGAAAGTAAGGAAGAAGGGATTGAGGAATGAACCTCATGTTGGGAGGTTGATGTAATACTAATAAATACTTGGCCTAGGAAAGAAGAAACAAATTCATCATGTTTGTAGAATGTGCTCTGCAATGTTCCCTATAATTCCTCAAACGATAACACTTACTAATAAAAAGAGAAAACTTGAGCGAAACTAAAAAGGCAGCATATACACCTTTCATTAGGGATATAGAGCCCCCTCACCTGCCCCTAAAATATGGCCTGCTGTTCTCTTAATGTGAAAAACTCAGTGTGGAGGGGATGTAAGAGCGAGGGCTGGGATATGATATGTGCACATGGGAGGAGTATAGAGAAGGACACAGACAATGCTGGGACAGACACTGGATACTCAATATCCAAGTGTATATATAACTATTTTGGGGAAAGTGGAGGACTGGAGGTTCTATGTGAGGGGGGATAGGCACTGTATCAGTTCTGCTGCTGGATTTTACCATTGGTGATGGCATACTGATGTTTGTACAGTAAATGTCTAGCCTACGGCACCAAAACAGTCAGAAACAGCCCTGCCTGAGCTTCCACCTTCTACCACCAGATGGGAAGAGACAGCAGGATAGGGGGCTGATAGTGAGCAAGCTCTGTTTTGTAACATTGCAAGTTGAGCATTCATTTGAATATCACCCTGACTAAATCAAGCCTTCACACAACCGTAGATTTCTCAAGACAGCTACACAAATCCAAATGAGCAGAACACACCAGGTCTCCCCACCAAGATACGAGTTGTATGGAATTACACCAGCAACTTCACATGCTTAATCTGTTCTGCTGAGTGCAAAGCAAAGTCATCAAGCTTTAAGGAGCGAGAGAGAGAGAGAGAGAGAGAGAGAGAAGCGGAACACTTGGACACCTGAAGGTAAATTAAATATTTATAAACACAACAACATCTTTGCAGATGGAATTACTGATTTATTAATAATTTCCATAAAAAGCCAGTGGGTGACATCCACATAAGTCATATCTTCTGCTTTCAGGCATGATTCAGCCCATTAATTCCAGATCTGGATTGGGTGCGTCTGATTCGCTAACAGTAAATTGGCAGAGCCTGACGTTTAAATTAAAGGGGATGGAGCAACAGAATGTGACAAAAATGATTTTATACCTTAGGAGGCTGCGGAAATAAAAGTTCCTGAGGTCTATGAAGTGCGCCAGCGCCAAAACGGTGCCGGGATATCATTTTCTTGGATATGCGTAGAAAGGGAAGAGGGGATTGGTATTTTAAGGTTGTGAAACGTCATAAATTTGTGTGACGTTTAATGAACTTTGATGCGTTATGGGCCATTATCCAGGTCTGTATTGAGGGATCACTTTGCCAAAGGTACGAATAATTGACCATGACCTTTGGTAAGGCTCCTCCCCTTTGTCAATTCGTTATTTAAAACTGAAGTAAACCCCTTTTTTGAAAAAATATATATTTTTTTAACTTTCTGTCTCTCTGTGTGTCTCTTATATCATAAAAATTTCTCCCTGCCTATCAGCATATTTAATGTTGTGTACACTGGGCGTATGTGTAGTTCAATGTACAGCCTCAGGGCAACTCTGTGCTGGGATAAAGTAACTCCAATGAGCATGCGCAGGAGTTATATTGACCTGGCCAATCAAGATGGCCAACTTGATGGTCAAGTCTTGGAACCTGGAGGAAGACTAGTAGAAGTTGCGCCAACAAGAAAGCTTTTTCTCTTAATTTCCTGTACTGGAGACAGAACAGGAAGTCAGAGGAAATCTTTCCAATGTGATGAAATAAACCCTTTTGATTATCACTGGAACAGGTTTCCCCATCATTCCCTTGCTTCCTCTTATGGTGACAACTGTAAAATATTGGATTTCCCATCATATCTGTGCCAGTGGCAAAGGTCACAAGAGAGGGTGGATCTCCCCAACAGCAGCAGAGCAGCAATAAAAACTTGCCAGTGATACTGGGCCTTGCCATATCCTGAATGACTAGATTAATAGTTAATCTTTACATTAAATTACTATCTTGGTTTGCTCTTTTGTACTGATGTAGAAGGATCCAACCCACTCTTTTGTGCGTTGAAAATATCACCCAAGTTTATTGAATTGAATTTGCAGAATATAGTCTCATTATTTAGCCATAACAAGCTCACTTGAAGCAAGATAACCAAGAGTCTTCCAGAATCTCACTTGCTTGTTCACTCATAACAAGCTATATCCTTCACACATCCACACATTCTTTTGTATTATTGCTCTACAAGGTTAGAGGAGCCAAAGGGGAACAAGACCATGAGCACTAGGCCTGTAGTCTAACTGAAGCCATGTTCCCCAACAAAACAAAGTCAGCATTAGCCGCTTTTACCAATCATTTCAGTGATATATTAAGTTTCTGGACTGCCTCCCAAACTTGGAAGACTGAGAAGATGCTACTGAGTTTTTACTTTTAAC